GGTGTGTGTGTGTGTGTTTGTATACATATAGATAGACAGGGAGTGAATCAATAGATTATATATATATATATATATAATGTTAGCTGTATATGAATATAATATTGGATATTTTAAAACAAGATTTCGTAAGAGTATTCTAATTATAAAGCATGTGGTACGCGATGCTGTTCATGTGAAGACTACGGCTAAGTTAGCTGAGGTGGCTTTTCCAGTTCCTGATAATAGCACGAAGTCCACTTTTGCAAGCGGCACATACCTATTTCGAGTAAACAGGCTGTCCCGAAATTAAGCTGTGCACAGTACGCTCGTAAGATATCGTGCACTGGTAATATATGGGTGCAAAATCTGGTTAGGCTATTCGTACAACCTTCAAAATATGTTTTCGTTTATCATCCTTAAAAGCCTGTAGTGAATGCATTGACTAATTTTGCGTCTTTGGTGCAACCGAAGGCCCTGAAGTTATCGAACCCCTGTTTGAAAAAGAAGAATGGTAGACAATTAGAATGTATGTTGCTTGAGGATATAGACGTTGTACTATTAAGTAAATACATATATAGTGTACGACAGCAGAATGAATCAAGATCTCAAGTCATATGTTACAGTTGCACTGTATCTAAAAATAAATTCAATGGCTCAAAGTACTAGAAATAAACATCGAGAAAAGAGCAAGAAACAAGAACTCGGAAGGCATTGAGTTGACAAAATTCGGCACCTACCATTCCAATGTTCGTCGGATTGCCACTGCCGATATAGTCGATACGCAGATACTTGATACGGGCGCCAGTGGAAGAATTGACTACAAACTACCAATAGGTACCTTCGTGTGCATTTAGGTCACAATCAGCTGTAATTCCCCGTACTGAAACATCTGAGCCCAGAAGGTTCCTATCTTTCACCATATACTCCTCTATTTTATAGGAACGCCATCGATATTGTACAACATGCCCGCAGCCTGTGTCGACCCGTGCGTGTTGTAGGTCACGAGCAACGCCGGCATGTACGGAACGCCCGAGTACAATCCATCCAACATCAGGAACCAGCCACCCAATGTACCCTAGTAGTCGACGTCATACGCATTCTTAGTATCTAGATTATGGCGACATTTGAAAACGAACCCAGAATTTTCCCTGTCCCACCTTCCTTCCCAAGCTTCGGTGAACTTCGCAGACTGTAAGGTTGGAAGAATTCGGTGGTTGTAAGATGGAAGCTGATTCCCTCGGGTCTGTAGTTGGGATCCAGGTCGCTATAATCGGTATATCCCAAATCATTGGCATCCTCAAAATCAATATTCAGAATGGAAGCCGAGGTGGAACATTGGTCAGCAATGTGCGTTGCGAGCGCTGGCACAAGATCTCAGTCGTGCAACACAGCTCAGTGCTGCAGACAGCACCAGTGCCCTCCCCACAAGTAATGGTACTGTAGTCTGCCTTAGGTCTGTATTCTTCACAGATGGAACCAAAAGAAGCGTCGGTTTCTGATAAACAGGTTCGCTGATTACAGCAGGTAGTCTGCGTGCAGTCGCTACCATAGCAAATTTGCCAGCCATGCTCCACGTAGCCAGCCATACAAGTCTTGCCTGTGTCAAAGTAGGCGATCTGGCACGTCGTTTCTTCGCCATATACAAATGTGATAGCCTTGTCGTCGCTAACCGTCAGTGTTGTTTTGCTATCGGGAAAATAGTCCCCATTAATCTCATCGAAGGCTACCTTTTCGCTCGGGGTGTTCAGGATCTCGAATTGGTATTCCTTATTCGATGGTAGATCGAAAATGAAAGTACTTGTACTCGAATCCCATACATCATTGTCACTTACTGTATAAATTTGCGACGTACTGGCAGCTACATCTGTTACTTCTACTTGTGTCCCAGGTATAGCGACACCGGAATCGTCCTCAGCACGTATTGTTATTTGTGGGTTCAGTGCCATATACATAAACTCCACCTCAGTATCTACACTCACATTCAGTAAAGAGTACACAATATGTGCTTCTTCTGGTAATATGAGCGCACAGTATGTATGGGAAATGACAGATGATGTGTTGTGATTATGTCTGATACTGATACTAAATTGACAAGTAAATACTTTCAATTTGTATAGTACAGACTGTACAGTATTGGAAAGGCGAGTTATTTTTTCAAGTTAAAAAAAGCTATTATAGTTTGTATTTGTATGTTTGGGGGGGGGGGTTAAACAAAACTTTACCCCAGAGTCCCAGTCGCCCAGACTCTCAGACCCCCAATCACTGAATCACAGTATCACTACATCATGAATTTTTTTTCAACATTTGTTTTTGTTTTTTAAGAAAAGCGATTTTTTTTTAAATTCACACTTTACTGTAGGAGCCCTATTTTTGGTTGTTTAAAAAAATTGTTTTTATTTAAAAAAGTATATTTACAAACCAAACAAACTACTTTAGGCCGACCGGCGACCTTTATTGCGACCGCACCGCCGAACCAGTGGTAAAAATTCAGCAGAAAAAATCCGGCAGAAAAAAAAAGAATAGTGTCTATTGGTCCACTGGAAATTTTCAAAAATATGTTTGTAAAAATAAAATCCATGTGAACTGGGTGAAGGCGCCCAAATGGCCCAATTGCTCCAGTTACTCTAACTTTTTACATATAAATATTTGACATCAAAATTCAACAATCGGCGGCCACGGGGCGCGGGTGGCATCACTGTTAATTACATATTTAAAAAATAGCATTGATTATTCAGAGGTCTTTTTTTTAGTGTTTGTTTCAAGAGGGCTATTGTTTCAGGATTTTTATTATTATAGCTTCCTAAAAAGAACAAGGAGGCTATGATATCCGGCCCGAATTGACTCAGCACATATCTTCCATTGTCGACTCACTTGGCCCAAGCTTCAAACGGGAATTTACTGACCACTTCTTCCCATCAATCTTTCCTGAACCACTACAGCGACTATGAGAGCCATACCATATGTTCATACATTGTATCATACATACTTGCCATTTTTGAAATAAATAAGTTTATCCCTATGATATTTTTCATAGCCTTCTTGTCAGACCAGGCTAAACCCCATTTTCCTCTATGTATAAACCTACCTAGGTTTTTCGGTTGCACACATTATTGATTTTTAGCATGCGCTACTATATTGTTCACCCACGATTTTCCTTATGTTTATTACTACAGAATACAAATACTCAATTAGATTCTGAATAAACTATTGGAACGCACAAACTTCTGAACAAAATTGGTTAAAGTTTATTGTTGAATATTATGGAATATTTGTACTAGAATAAACTATGGTAGATATGTGGGAAATATTGTTCCAGCATGGGGATATTGTTGGAGCGTGGGTCAGGGTGAAAACCTGGTTTTGGTTTAAACCTAGAGGGAAAGTTTAACTTGTCCCAAAATCCCCCCCCCTTCCCCCCCCCCCCCCCGGCCAGAAACCAAATCAAGGTTGAAGCTTTTCCTGGGAAGATGTATGATCCTGTAAAAGTGTGTGTGTAAAATGTTTGTTATTTGTGTTTGGGTTTTGCGAGACACTTAGAAAGTAAGTAGGTCAACGGGGTTGAGATGGGTGCTGATGTAGTGGAGGGTGATCATGTCGGATTTAGCGCAATCGCGGATGTAAATACATGAGCACGAACTGTGATGTACTTAAGTCCCTTGGCGGTGCCGGTGCCAAGCGCAACCTTAATAGCAGACTGTTTGTCGACACGAAGAGTAACTGCTGACAAGATAGCAAGTCCCTTGTCATTGAGGATATTCCGAATCCATGCGATATATCGTGTAGTCTCTTATGCGGCTATATACCCCGCTTTTGTCGAGCTAGTGTAGGTGCCGGTGTGTGATCTGCGCGTGAATGGGCAGGATCTCCAGTCAGAGTTGGTGTAAGCTGTATATAATGTGGTGACTGATGTTATGATTGTCGGGAGCAACGCGATAGTGGAAGGCTAGATGTTTAGTGGTGAGGAGGTAGTGGAGTATACGGATAAGGGCAGTGTAATGGAAAGTGAGTGGTGCGACACTGAACGCAGTTAATTGGCTCAGCACACATGCAATATCGGGACGAGTCATATTAGCGGCGATCCCTAGTGCTCCGAGGATCTTGCAATATTTCCCGTGAAAAATAGTGCCGGTGAGATGGCCAAGATGGTCTCCCGTGCTAGGAGTACATTTGGAGGGAGCGCCAATTGCATTTGTAGAAAAGTGGTGTATAACCACTGTTTCTGGCCGGAGTTACGCACAACCGCTGGTACTATTGTAAAAGTCGGTCTCCTATAGGCTGACTATACGATATCAAGACGTTCACGCTAATAAAATAATGCGTTAAAACATTATAATGCAAAATGTTAAATAATTTTAACTTCAGCCTTTGGTAATGAGAAAAAGATTAGAAGATTTTAGACTGAGACTATTGGCTATATGCTCCGCTCTAATCACTCACTACGGTCTAGATTTATTTTTGTTTAGTTACTAAGACTAGATATCATTTCATTGGACGCTTGATTTACATTTCACGCATCGAAACAATCACCTAATCAAACCTAACCAATAAAATACCTCCAAGTCCAACTTAAGAGAATCAAAAATAAAGTCAAAACACCAAGTTGGTGCAGTATACATCTGCACCTAAACCCCATCACTTGGTACCTAGCTCCCATCCCATTTAAGGCATAGACGGGCACATCTAGTTGGCTGGCTAGGAGGAATCAAACCATGTTGTCCTAAATTCTAACAACTCTGATCCTGTCCTTTTCTCAGTGGATTATCTTGCTCTGAAATCATTATCGAATTATACTATAGGTTTGTACCAACAACCATTTCATGCATGAGACCCTCTCTCATGGTACTCCTATTAATTAGAGATTCCCAAAGTGTCATTTTCAGGTGTCAGATTGGTGTCGTTCCTACAATTATAATTTCAGTGGAAAAACCAATCTAGATTTGGAAAGCCACCCAATGTCCACAGTAGAGTCCCATACTCTAATGAGTACTGTCGCATGTTCAGAATCCTGAATTACGCCATTCTTGTTCATGTCCAATTCGTTAGACGTATTCCAGGATTATAGGTATACGCGTTAATACGTTTATAATATACGTTAACTGCGCAACTACTATTAGGAACCCGCAATTTTTATACACTATTTCGTCAACGTAAATGACGAGTATGATGTTACGTGCGGTGTGGAGCCACATGTTCTGGTCCTGCTGACGTTGAACGAAACCGAGGTTGGTGAGAGTTCGACCGGTGTCCTGGCTCAATAGACGGCCTTGCCTGTTTAAGGCCGTAAAGGCCGCAAATCAGCTTGAGGATCGTGTTGTGAGGGTAGTGGCCGAGCTCCACACTTTCTTTGGGAGGCTATATGTAAACAGGGGTGTCTAATTTTGAATAGAGATACGCTGTAGTTACGTCAAAGTGATTAACGGTTCGGTTTTGAAAAGCGGTTGTCGCTAGAGAAGTACGAAGCGTGGTGGAAAAAGCGGTCGGGGCGTATGTATCCCAAAAAGAGTCGCCATGCATTTTTTTTTATCGCCACGGGCTACCATTCGTGCCTTGTCGCCGTGCTCGTCATGCTTGCGTGTGAACACGTACTTGGAGTGTATGATCTTTGCTGTGAAAGGTACGGCGTACAGGGGTATGATGTCAGCGAGTTTGTTGCGGTCGTGTGCCGCACGTTTGCGGTCAATGGCGAAAGACCATTGTGGCCATTCAACACTGGATTGGGCCTTGGATATGCTTTTGGGGACCGTATCATTGAGTAGAGCGACCGTATTAGTTAAAGAGAACTCGGGGCGGGCAGTCGGAGGAAGGGATCGAATGCGGTGAGTCAATTGGTGGGTGCGATGTGCCAGTCAACGTCGTTGAAACATAATCATACGGCGGAGAAGGTCACGGCGATTGGGTTGGATGATTCGCAGTGATCAGTGTGGATAAGTGCGATTTGAGCTCGAAGTGAGGAAGGCGCGGAGTCAGAGAAATCGGCGTACACACAGCCGGGATAAAAAACATTCGTGGGTGGCGGCGTGTAGAACGCTGCCTGGTTTGGTTCAAATCCGAAGTCGTGTGTGGCGTCGTCAATGACGGATGGGTTGGGGATAGTGATTGATGGAGGTGGAGGGATAATGGCTTGAGATGGGATAGGAATGGGGGAAGGTAGAGGGGGGATGACTGTATGGTACGGCGTATTGGGGGCTACGGGAGGGAGAGTAGGGGTTGCACGGGGGGGCAGTTCGACGGGGGCAGCCACGAGGGTATAACAGGGGGTAGTGCGACGGGGTAGGCACTGGGGGTATAACGGGGGGTTGTGCCACGGGGGTAGGGATTGGAGGTGCATCTAGGGGCAGTGATATCGGGGTAGGCACGGGGGTCTAACGGGTTTGATGGGAATAGGGGTGGGTACGGAGGGTATGGTCCAGGGTAGAGGAATAGCGGTGGGCATCGATGAGACATCGGTGAAGGATGGTGCAGGGGCGGGTGTAGTAGGCGGGCCGTCCGTGGGTACAAAGAAGATTCCATCTGCTATTTTGTGGGATGCCGTGGCCCAATCGTCGGATATGACCCAGGGCGATGGAATGGCGCATCGCTTGGCAAATTTGCCGTTCGAAGTCCATTGGAGGCGTTCGTCAGTGAAAAATTCGACGTCGCGGCTATGAATAATCTGCTGCGTAGCGAAGCCTTGGATCTTAAATGTATCGTCAGTGCCAGTCAAAGTATACCCAAGTAAAACGCCTAAACCGCGTTGAGGCAAATACTTGTGCAGGTGCGGTTGACCAGAATAAAAGCCGCCGTACATCCGAAACGCATGTGGGGAAAGACGGGGTCAGGGCGTTGGTGCCGTATATGATGTGGGGAGAATAGCTTGAGAGCCATTGGTGGGGTACGGTTGCGTAGGGTGTCAGCAAAGTCGTTGGCTATACCCCATTATGGGAGAGGCATAGTAGCTTCGAGAAGAAGACAGTGAACTAGGTTGTTAAGTGTGGCATGTTGGCGTTCGACTGTGGCATTCATTTGCGGGGTGGGGGGGGGGGGGTAGCGCGTAGCTCAATGCCGAGAGACGTACAGTGGTCGCGAAATATTTTGCTCTGAACGGCTTCTCCCCAGGGCCATAGATAGTATCAGCTGTGTCGTGAGCGACATCCTTTGCTCGAAGTTTCGCTTCAATGCAAATAGGGCAGTGTTTCTCCTATTCGGGGTTGGCGGGCATGCATAATGGCGGCGGCAAGCGGTGGAGAGTGGGGTACGGCAGTGTATAGGGGGCCTACCAGAGCGACAAGAGTGTATATCCAAGATGGTTTACCGACAACGGTCGTTCCGTGGCGGAGGAAGGTAGATGATGTATTCTTGATAATAAATGGGCTAGACTGGAAGCGGGAGCTTACGGCGGGCCACCATATTGCACATGGACGGAGCGGCATGACCATAGCTACAGTGGCGCCGATTTTGGTCACTTGTCCTGTAAATTCGTAAATATCTGTTCATTCGGGGTTGCCGTAGGCTTTCTCGTTGAGGAAGTCGACGTGTCGCCAGTCAGTGTGGGCGCCACCCCCTTCCAGGCTTGCGAAACGTGGGAGTTGCGCATTGGATTTGCTAGCACAGATGTTTATATGTAGAGTTTGAGAGTAGCTAATAAGATACGACCAGAAGAAACAATATACCTCTTCTCAAGTGCGAATCCTACAGCCAGGTAAAGTCCTCGGCTGAAGGACTCGCATTGAGTCTTTATTTGTGTTTAGTATTTTCTACACGAGACTCAGTATTTAATTAAGTGTTTCTCTCACACGCGGAGTCCCGGTATCATCTACCGGTAATCCCGCTATATTTCTGATCACTCTATCATCAGATATGTTGGATCCTAGATCCAAAACTCAGTATTTGATAATTCTGGGTTTTGGGTTTAGGATTGGCTTTTCTGATAATCTGGCCCCTGGATGCTACAGCCCCCCAACTTTGTGCTTCTTAGCCTGCGTAGGAGTAAAAAGTGACATCTTATAGGACTAGATTATCTAGAGGTTGGTGTTTTTGTATAGGGAAAAACTTGTCCCTTAGGGAGCATAAGATGAAAAACCTGCCACCATTATCCATTCTAACATATTACTTATTAAATTATTTTATACTAAATAAAAGGAGTACTCTACCACGCTCATCGGAGTCAGTCTTGACCTGTGCTCTCGGTTGATCTCAACTTGGCTTAGGAAAACACATCTCAACGGTGGCTCTCCACCGAGTCTTTAGTCCACATCCCTCTGGTGTGTGGGCAGAGCATGCTTCAAGGTGATAGAAGTGGGAGTGTCCATTGGTGTCAGTGAAACTTGGCTAAGTTCCCCGCCTCGTGCGCTGCCTGTTGCTCGCTGATCGTTCATCAGTGCTGGTTGCTGTTGACTTCTTCGGCCTGGACTGCCTTCGCTTGCGTCGTTTACGCTGTCGGTATATTGTAAGAATGTCTGGATCTGCGATGTCTGATTCATGTGTCCAGGTGCGCTCTCCATCTGTCCATTGCAATAGGTAGTCCTGGGTTCCTCCACCTCTGGTGGATTCTCTGTGGTCTAGTATCGAGGAGAGTTGAGTCTTTTCTGATGGGTAGACTCGACTGTTGGTAGTGAATTATTCGAGTTCGCTTGCTTGCTTGACTAAACCCTTTTGCTCATCATTGACCGAGTTAGGATATTCGGGGGCTTTAGTTCCATCTAGGTTACGGACAAAATATACATTGCCCTCTTTGCTGGCTATCTTGTATGGTCCTCCATATGGTGCTGTCGTTTTATTCATTTCACCTAGGTAACGAACCATCACAATGTCCCCTTCCTGGAAGTGTACATACCTCTCTTGATATTTGCGATCAAATGCTGCGCGTATTTTTTCTTGGTATTGTGCCACATTGGCATTTAGTTGTGGTCGTATTGACTCCTCTAGATTCTGTAGTCGTGTTTCCCATGTTATGGTTGTACCTGGTGCACCGACCGTTGTGTCATAATTGGTGAGTTGGTTTTGTCGTCGCCCATAGTACACATTGAACCTTGGTGATTTGTGTCTGCGTGAGGAACGTAGGTTTTGGCCTATTTGGACAAATGGGAGGCGTGAACACCAGTTGCCTGGATTTTGTTCAACAAATTTCCGTAGTATAGGGATGAGGTCCCTGTGCGAGCGCTCATTCGCTCCCATTACTTTGGGTTGATACGGTCTGGACACTAAATGTTGTGACGGTGCCTGCTCAATACTTTTTGATAGTATGTCATTCATGTATTCTGTGCCCTGATCCGTCTGTATGACTTGTGAAAATCCATGTTCACACATGATTGTAACTAGTGTTCGTGCAACAGTGGCTGCCGATTTGTCCATCATCGGTCTAGGTATAGCGTATGATGAATATACATCTAGCCATACCAGAACGTACGTGTTGTTCCTATTCGAGTATATCAAGGGACCTATGGTATCCACTTGTACCCTGTCGCCCGGAAATGCGGCGGTTATTGATTGTAAAGAGTGGAATCCCTTTTTGTGAATTTTGTTCTTGAGACATGGTACACAGCCCTCAATATATTGGTTGACATGTTCCTTTTGTCTAGGCCATGTGTGGCCATCTAGTATGAGTTTGTTCACTGTTTCTTCGACAGTGTAGTAACCCACTGTGTGGTATTGAGCTATGAGTGTGGTTCTGTCTTCATATGTGACTGTGTCTAACTCTGCGGGCTCGTCCGCGATGTGTATGGGTGCAATGTTCACTGCAGGGTGCGTTAGTGTTTGGTCAAAGTATGGGGACTTTTTGCCTATCTTGGCTACTATTGTGACCTCCCATGGTGTTTTGCCACAGGCTGATGTGCCGTTCTGTAGGAACGTGTTGTTTGTGTTTGCGACCATCATTGGATCTTGTTCCAGTAACGACAAGAATTTGGGGAACCACGTTGCGTTTGGGTAGTACGGAACGCATATCGTAATGCTTGTGGCTTCCTCTATCACTTTGTCTAACACGTCTGGTATTAGTTCCCAGGGAGGATTCGCCCATGCGTTTATTTCATCTGCCCACTTTTGTAGAAGCGCGTTTTGTTCTTTGGTGTAGAACTTTGCGGTTTGGGCATTGTGTGCGGCTGCAAATAAATCGATGGTGAATTTACCAAACAGGCCTTCTGCATCATGAAAGAATCGTGGATGTAGTTTCCAGTCTATGGCAGACACTAAGATGGGCATGTTTGTTTCTAGGTCAGTGTATTCCTGACCATTGTGTATGTGCTCATTGGCTTCTTTAACACATTCGATGTTTTGATGTTGAATGTGTCTTCGTGTAGTCTTGACAATATGTCAGCAACTTCATTATCTTTGCCTGGCACGTGTACGATAGTGAAGTGATGATGTAATGTTTTCGCTATCCATTTCGCGAGCATGGCATGCAGCGTTTACTGCTTGTTCATCTGGCATAGCGCTGTGTGATCTGTCCACAATGTTATATCGCCGCCTTTGATGTATTCTGAAAATGTTCCAGACAGTATACGAATGCTAACAACTCTATAGTATTTGTCCCATATCTTTGTTGTGCAGGGTTGAGACCTTTTGAGAAATAGAGTATATCTCTTCTGACTCCATCTACAATTTGGAACAGACATCCTCCTATGCCATAGTCACTTGCATCGTTCATGATCTGAAACGGTACTCCATCTACTTGGTACGCCAAAGTTGCTGAGCATGCAATGGCATCTTTGAGTTCTTCCCATTTCTTAATGAGCTCTGGTGTCCAAAGTGGCTATATTTTGATTCATTTTGCCTTTCATGAGATTGGGGAAGTGTTTCGTTATGTGTGCAAACTGAGGTATATGGTCTCGCATGTAATTTACTAGACCGACTGCTCGATGTAATTCACGTTTGGTTCTTGGTAAAGGCCAGTCAATCATGCGATTCTGTTTCTCTGGGTCTGTTTTGAGCCCTTTGGTAGTTACTTTGACGCCTAATATATTGACTGTCTTGACTGTAAACACACACTTGTTGTGATTTGGCCTGAAGTTGGCAGCATTAAGTCTTTTGATGACTTCGCGTACTGTGTCTATGTTCTTCTTCGGTCATACTCGCAATGACTATGTCATCTACATATACTTGTACCCCTTTAATGTCAATGAGGAGGTTGGCCATCACTCTTTGGAATTGTGCTGTTAGCGAGTGCAGTCCAAATGAAGCTGACTTGAATGAGTATTGTGTCCCTCTTCATGAAAATGCGAAGAAGTGTTGGCTATTTTCATGTACTTTAAAGTAGTGGAAGCCTCCTGTTAAGTACAATTTAGAGAAGAATTGCGCACCTTGTAGGTTGTGTAGAACATATTTTGTCTCTGGTAAAACGAATTTGTCTTGTTCATGTTGATAGTTTACTTTTCTTAAGTCTAAACATGTGCGGACCTTCTTTAACAAACCCGTCTGTTCAAATTCTCCTGTGGATAGTAGTGACAGGTTCACCTGTGTGGATGTTGTTCTTTTGTATATGTGTCCATCTTTGACCCATTTCTGAACGTTTTCATCTGTTTGTGGTATGTATTTATGTGGAACAAAGTTCACTTTAGCATAACGAATATTGTTTGCTTTAACCTCCTGACTTGGTATCTCTACCACTGAGCCTGGTAGATTGCAGTGTACATCTAGTGGGATTTGCCCATTTTGTTCTAACAAGTCTGAGAGTGATTCTCTGGATCCTTCCTGTTCATGTTCAGGGTCTTCTTCGCGTGGTGTAAGAAGTGATTCCCATTTGGCATCTGTTGGTATTAGTGGGCTGATTATCCCTACTAAGTATATGCCCCAAGTATGGTAGAATGTCCATTCCTAATAGGATTGGTGATTTCTTGACTGGGAGATCAAGTATCTCGAAGCAGTTTGAGGGTTTTCTGCCTCCGTAATTTTTATCACATACTTCTGTGGAGCCTGTACGTTGTACTTTTGCATCTGATTGTACGTTGTGCCTTTACCGACAGGTATAGTTCAGTTACTACACTTCGGTCCATACAAGAGCGTTGTGCCCCTGAATCTACTAGTGCATTGTATGTGGTGCCATTGATTTGTATGTTTATGTACAATCTTTGGTCGCGTGTATTCGGAAGTAAAGGAAATGGGTGTGTAATCAATATCATTCGCATTTATTAACATCGTTTCTTCATCAGTGTATGCATTCACAATGTTTACCATGGTAACCATGTTAGCCTCCGACCACCAAGCCTTTCATAGCTCTTCATCCATCTCTTGCACCTTATTGCCCTTGGTAATAACCAATTGGTCAACATGGACAGTTTGGTTCTGTTGCGCTTCGCGTGCTTCTGCCTTGCGACGATTGTTGTTCGCTTTGTTGGGGCACTTGCTGAATGCATGTGGTGAGGGGTTTATACCACAGTGCGGGCAAGATCGTGGTTTATTGTTGCTTGTCTGATCATGTCTTCGGTGAGCTCATGAAATACCTTCTCTGAGATGTCAGATAAGTGTCCACTACTCCCGTCTGGTAACGTGATGCTTTGAGGAGTTACCAACTTTATAGCCTCTCTCTCCTTGCCCTTGTAACATTTATCCAACTCAAACATTGTGCGACGCAATCGTACTGCTCGTACCTCGACTACCATACGAGTGTCATAAATTCGTTGAGCCACTTCTCTAGTAGATAGTCTACTGGAGTGCGACTTAGGTTGTCAATTATTAATTTGTTGTAGTCCTCCACATCAGTAAACTCTTGCCAAAGCTTTTTGGTACTACGTATATTGTTGAGTGCAGTGCGCGATACTTCGGTTGCATCTGTCTGTCTGAGTAGTTCTTGTACTAGTGAGAGGTACTGTATCAATGGCATGTTTGTGCTCGCAAACAAGTCTTTGGCTACAGATACAAACTCAATTGTATCATGGCAATCAGCCATGCTGATCAGTTTGCCTATTGGCCACTTAGGGAACTCACTCCTCTAAAGTAGTTTGTTCAGTTTTGGTTCTGAAGCTTTGTCCCCTTCATGAGATCTAATTAGAGTTAACTCGCTCATAACTGCTTTGCGCAGTTTGTGAAATGCTCTAATATCAATGGGATCGTCTGCTGTCTGCGCATACAACTTGTCTACTAGTATATCTACTACATAGCAGTTGCCTGCATAGATGGTCTTATCCAAGACTATGTTGTACTTACTCATCGCAGAATCCATTGGAGCTCTTGCTGGTGTAGACTCGTCGTCCATGTCCATCGCTCTATCCCCATTGTGTGGGGTAGATGTGCGTGACGATGCTTGTGAAACTGGCATTGTGTGTGCTGTTTCTGGACGTGTACTGGTTGAGAGACTACATTAGTAGACGTATTTCTATATACGTTAATAACGTTTTACGTCGTCAGCCCGAGAGTAATTTGGGACTTGTTCTCAAATTAATATAAGTATAGGTGGGTCAGCCCGAGAGAACGTAAGAGTAATTTGAGACTTCTTCTCAGAATATTCTATTTATAGGATACGGGCCACCGGCTAGGCGAGAGCCGAGGTCCCAGACTGAGTGTAGTAACAGAGAATATGATATATTTATTTATAGAAAATATATCCGAGTGCTAAAGTGTTCTGCATAAGGTTTCTCATATTGATCATATGAGTTTTTACCCTGGCCAACCCAAGTGGTTGAACACTAGTACAAACACCATCAGTATATAACTGAAGGTGAGATCGTAAATGAATTCATTCGAATGCACCATACTTTAGAAACACTAGCACTTTACTATTAGTCCCTATTCCCTACACCGCACTCTAACAACTGGTCGTACGACATGTGTTGCCTCTAGTCTGTGTTCTGCTTGAACTCACTTGGGTGGGTAGGCTTCGTCGTGCTGCACGTGTCCTCTGATATGGAGCAGAAGTCATTGACAATGCTATGTGTGGGACGTTTATTGTGGTGTCAGACTGTGTAGACACCTGAGCACAAGTGTCTCTTATGTGTATACGCAAGTTTTAGTAATTTCGATTGATTACCTTTGTGTGTGCTTCCTTATAGTGTCACGTAGTGAAGTTGTGTGTAGTAGCTTGCCCCTTGTCTGCTCAACTCAGCGTTCTTTGCAATACCTGGGTTTATATTGAGAATATTTGTTTAGGTGAATAAACTTGGGTTTATCTTGGTTTATTTGTGTTTTTGAGATAAAACTTTTGAATTGACCAATGAAATTCGTGTAGTGATAAATTCTACCCATTGAAGACAAAAATTAAGGCTCCAGTGGTAAAAAAAACAAACTTTTTTTGTTTTTTGTGTGTTAGTAGTCACAATACAATATACATAGAGGGGGCGCTTGGGGGGGGGGGGTGGGGTGGAGACAGTGCGAGGTTGTGATCCTGCGAAATTCACAATTTTGTTTGTATCCTGCGAGTGAATTTCTATATAAATTGTCACAGGTATGCAACTTTTACGATATCACATATAAAAATTACAAAGAACCAGTAAGTTACTAATATTATGTGTATCGATGAATACAAATTGTCTGCGGGATTCAACTTTAACTTCAGAGTATTTTTATGTCAAAACACAGTCGAACAAGTAAATACTTAGGTGTTTATCGATAGGAACAATTATATGAACAAATATATAATTATATATTGCGTGTACATTATATATAATTTCATTTTTACATATAATACAAACAGTTTTGTACACACTCTCTTTACAAGGTACGATATATCTGTATATTTTGCAGTCAGAGATAGAAGCACAAAGCATTTGACACCTGCTTACCTTAAAATACTTACCTTTATTATAAATTGGACTATGTTGATACTGGCATCCCAGTCATTAGTCTGTCGCGTATGTCGGTAGACTTCTCTCGGCTGAGTGGCTTCGTGAAAAAATCACTGAGTAGATGTTCTGATGGTATGTATTTTAGCTTGATGGTGTTGTTCGATGTGAGTTCCCTGATGTGATGATATCGTAGATCGACATGTTTTGTACGGCGGGATTTCGTGATACCATTTCCCATCAGTATTGCTGACTTGCTGTCCTGTTCTATGGTGGTGGGTTCTTACGAGCGGAATGCCGAATTCTGTGAAGAGATTCCTAACCCATACTACGTCTTTAGCTGTATCAGATTGTGCTACGTATTCTGCCTCTGCTGTAGACGTTGTTGCTAGTCGTTGCAAGTTTGTTCCCCACATGAATGGTGCACCTGCTATAATGCCCACTCGCCCGGTGGTGTATCGTCTTGTTGTGTCATCGCTAGCAAAGCTACTGTCTGCACTCAGATAGGGAATACCTGGTTCTTTGTTCGTGTATTCAAGTCCGAAGTCCTGAGTACCAGCGAGATACTTCAAAAAGCGCTTGGCACCTCTGAAGTGGTGGTACTGAGGTGCTATCAGATAGCTACTTAGGATCGAAACTGCAAAGCATATATACACTCGTGTTTGGTCTACAAGGTATCGTAACTGACCCACTAGCTTGTTGTATTGTGTGATTGTTGGGACGTCTGAGCTTGCCGGCTTTTCCAGGAGATATGCATGTTTGTCTGTTACTCCATAGTCCGATTCTAGAATTGGCACCCATGCTGGTTTACAATCTATCAACCCCCATTCCTGCAATATTTCTCTTAGATATTGTCGTTGATGGAGACGTACTCTTCCAGGGTGTATTTCCACTTGGCACTTGAGAAACCATAACGGTTAACCCATATCAACAGTGTTCCATTCGCCTTTCATTGCGTCAGCTAGTTTCTGTCCGTCCCACAAGGGGTCAAATCACCTTCCGAATACCCATATACACCACTTCAAACTGATGCTGGCCTGAACAAATCACAAGTGCTCTAATCGGTCAATTAGACTGGCGAGTCGAGGTTTTAACTCTTTCTGAGATCCGCAAGGTGCATAGGTTTTAACTCTTTCTGAGATCCGCAAGGTGCATAGGTTTTAACTCTTTCTGAGATCCGCAAGGTGCATCATCGACCGATCTGAATGGTTTCCTGAAAGATTTGAGTAAGAGCATATGTTGGGACCCGAAAGATAGTGAACTATGCCTGAATAGGGTGAAGTCTGAAGAAATTCAGATGGAAGCTCGTAGCGATTCTGACGTGCAAATCGATCGTCAAATTTGGGTATAGGGGCGAAAGACTAATCGAACTATCTAGTAGCTGGTTCCCTCCGAAGTTTCCCTCAGGATAGCTGGAACTATTACGCAGTTTTATCAGTTAAAGCGAATGATTAGAGAACTCGGTGGCGCAATGCTGTCGACCTATTCTCAAACTTTAGGGTATATTTTATCATGCTGCAATTTTGTCATCTACGTGTACAATAATGAAACAAGGTCCACTGTGTGTTTGTTTGATAAACAGTGCTCCATCCGATTGTGCTTGTTTATAACTGTGTTGTATAGCAAACCGATGGATAGCTTTAAACCAGTAGTGTCCGCTAGGTGGTAGACCGTATACGCAACGGTCAACTCGACATAAAACCTTTGTGTCTCCTTGCTTGTGCCTTTCGTATAGTTTTCTCTGAGACGGGTCCAATAGATGTTCGATGAGATCGTATCCTTGCGGCACTCGCATGTAGCTAGGGGTATCCAGTTCTTGAGTGAGGTGGGCCGAGGGTGTATCGTATTGTCGAATGTCCATGTCATAGTGCGCCATTAGAGCTAGACAGATCCTGAGTGTTTCCTCGGCTACTACTGGGGCATAGCTTTCATCGTAATCGACTCCCTGTTTTGCATTGAATGCTGCTACGTTCAGACGTGATTTGAGTCGTGTGACTTGTCCTGATTCATCCGTTTTTGACTTGAAGACCCATTCAAGGGGGGAATAATGATTTCTCTCGCGGTTTGTTGTCAACCAGAGTGAATGCCTTGCGCTGTATCACCAAGCTCTCCATCTCTAAACGTGCTGATTCCTCCCAATCGGCTGCGTTTGGCATCTCATGTATACCTTTGTATGTTTTGGGTTCCATTGCTGCAGTTGCTGAATTGACAGTGTGCGTAGTGCTAGAAGCTCGTCTCTTACGGCGGCTATCGTGATACCAGTCGACATTATTATCATCTATCGCAAGGTCCCGCAGTTCTCGAGAGACTTGGCGACCTTCTGCCGTTCTTCTAGCTATGGTTGCTTCGAGATCATGTTGTGTTTTGGTAGTCGCTGCAGTAGCCTCCGACTCGACAGTATGTACTTCGCTCTCAGCAGGTTGTTGTGTTGACGATGAAGTTATTTGTAGTTGTTCTGAGTTGCTCGACTTGTGCGTCACAGTTGGCTGGGCTTGTTGGCTAAGCATATCTTCCGTTGTCGATGTTGTCTTTGCGTCTGTTTGAAGATCTCCATTCTCGATTTAGAGGAATGTACTACTGTTCGTAGTGCCCGGTGGTGCGATAGCGGTTGTACATATGTTGTCTTCCCAGACAAAGAATTCATCTTCGAATATATAGACGTCTTGGCTTTGTATTATACGCTTGGTCAGAGGTGAGTGTATACGATACGAGTCTGGTGTTGTGTCCAAGGGTTGCGCAAGAAGAATGCCATCCAGTGGCTTTGTCGTCGAGTTTGCCGTCTGGATCACGGTTCTTGTATGCGATATGACACCCGAATGTTCTGAACATTATATATCGGAAATGTGTATCATGTAAAATTCTCGTATGGGGATGAGCTCTTCTCGTTAGTGGGTATAACATTGTATATGTTGGTAGTTGGAATCAGTGATTCAGCCCACATAGTAGTCGGTAGATGTGCATACTTCAGCTGTGCAAGCATTCTAGGGACCAGTGTACCATGGAGTCTCTCTACCTTGCCATGGTATTGTGGCGTGGCTGTAGGTGCGTAGCTCGAGCAGTATCCCAAATACGCAAGCATGCGCCTCGTTACGTTTGCTGTAAACCGTGAGCCTCGATCCATTTAAATGCACTGAACTCGGCGACAACTTAAGATGTACCATTCATCGAAGTGTGTAACATAGCATCCAAAACTGTTGTCGCTTTCAGATCGCGGATCGAATACTCTTTGGCCATGCTAGAAAAATCGTCCTTGATTGATACAGAGTGGGTGTTGGATCATATTGACGCTACGAACGGTCCTATTATGTCCACGAAGACTAACTCGAGAGGCTCTGTAGTAGGTTCGTGTTGCATGTTTGCATCGTTCCTATGGTTGGTTGCCTTATGTATGGTAAATCTTTTGGGACGTAGCTGGAGTGCACGAGCTTGCTGTGCCATAAAATCTGGTTGACTTTCTCCAGCGATGGTTTCACTGTAGTCGTAGCTATGTCGTCGATGTGTACACAGTATATTCTATGCTTTTCATGTGGGTTTAGGGTTT